TTATTTTATTTTATTTTATTTTATTTTATTTTATTTTATTTTATTTATTATTTTATTTTATTTTATTATTTTATTATTTTTTTATTTTATTTTATTTTATTTTATTATTAAACTTACCTGCAAGCTCATCTCACTATCCAGGGTTGCTATATTTTTTTGTTTTCATTATTTCACTCAGCAGGTCAGCAGAAAAGGTAAACTGAAGCAATGATTGACAATATATAATTTAAATATATATTTAAGCAAATGTATACAAATTGTATTTAATTACTAAGTTTAAGTTTATTACAGTCAAAGACCAGAGACCAGTATTTAATTATTTAAAACTTTTATTTAATAACCGGTAGTCCTCAAATTATAGCGACAGTTGGGCTAGCGGAAATTACCCCAGTGACTTGTGACCTTCCCTGTCAGTTTCACCACTGAATGGCTGGGGAAGCTGGTAGGAAAGGTTGCAAATGATAATCACATGATTGAGAGGCTCTGCAACTGGTCATAAGAGTGAACCAGATAACAAGCATGCAGATCACGATCACGTGACTCTAAGGGTACTAGGACAGCCAGAATTTTGAGGATCAGCCATAACCATGAGTTGCTCAGCACTGTCATAACTTTGAATAGTTGCTGAACAAATGGCTGTATCAAGGATTATATTTAAGTCTATCCATTTCAGATATCAATCCTCTCCCTGCTTCAGATTTCATTCACATTTTAGATGCCTTTCCCAGTCAAGGTGCAAATGGATGTCAAAGCAATAATTCTAACTCTAGAAAGAAAGAAAAATCAAAGGCACTTTTTTCTGAATGCAATGAAGCTGAATAGACTTTGTTTTACTTGTGAATTTTACTCTGGAAATCAAGAAATCACCAACTCTTACATCAAGAATGGAGAGGTATATTTACTTTTCAGGACTCTCTTACAAGTATTTATCATTCCTGAAGGCTGCAGACCAGAAACCGGTTTAGTTCATCATTTCTACTACAAAATCTGCTGCATGACCATCAGCTGTTCAACAGTGCGCAGCTGAACAACCATCAAGAAGCAAAATTATTCTATTGTCTCATCCAAATCATTCCATTATGCTGTCTGAACTGTTTATATTCGGTTAGTGATTATAATAACCACTAACTTTTAATCGGCATTTTCAATTTATCAGGACTTCAAGAATTGTAGATTTTTTTCAAGCATGAAGTCTGCCAAAAGAAAAATGAAGGAAATCCACACATGATCTGCAGGAATAGTGTGTTTGTCAACATTTTCTTCTTAAATTGGAGAGGGGATTCAAGTCATTATCCTGGTGACTACCCTGAAAAGTCTATGCAGTTTTCTTGGAAACAATTTTGTAAACTGTTTGCTATTGCCATCTTCCTAAGAGAGAGTGGTTGACCCAGACTTATGCAGCTGGCTTTGTGACTAAGGCAGGCCTAGGATTCATGGCTTCCCAGGTTTTAACCTGGGGTCCTAAACCACTATCCCAAACTGGCTTTCCATTTAAATCAACATTTAAATGGAACTTAAAGTGAAGTACTTCATTTTTAAAAAGGGGCAAAGAACAAGGTTTTCAATCCATTTTGGAGCAACAGTTTGCTTAGCTAGCTAAAGACTGTCAAGAATTTCAGTTTTAACTTAAAAAGAAACAGCTGCCAGGCGTAATCACTGAATAAGCTAATGCACAAGTTATTTAGATATAATCCAGATCAGGACTATGATAAAAATGCAAACCATACTCACTGTGGAATGTTTCCAATAACGGACAATTCCTTGAATGTCTGAAGCAGGATTAAAGAGAAAATGATCGCGCCATTCATTCCAGTCCACTGACATTGTCCCATCGGCATCCATGCTAAAAAGTCAACGTGAAATAACCAGAATTTTACAATGGATTGTGCTATTTTTTTTTACTTAATCATGTTCAAAGTACATTATACATGCGCATTCTAAACTCTTGTTCTGTTTGCCAATCTTTAATGTTAGATTAATGTGCAAGATGCTCCAATCTGGTATTTTATTTGGCTTCCAAACGTTCTACAGAGCAGAACACTGTTTTTGATCCCCCTTATCACTCTAAGGAAAGTTTCCTATAAACATATACAAGATTTCATAGGCAAGAATTTCTTGTCATCTATAAATATTAGAAGGTTTCAAAAAGATGGGGGAGAGAAAGAAACATTTCTTTTTGCTTCTCATTAATATGAAAACCTGTCTCCAGAAAACTCTGTACAATGCTATCATGTTCCTGTTCGGTTTAAATGAGACTCTGAAGAGGAACATTTTTGTTGAACTGTATGCTAAAATCCGAATATATTGTTATTGCCACACGTTAGCAAGTATTACCAACCATGAATGTTCAATATGTAGGATGGGAAGGCTGAGTTAAACACAGTTCTTCTCGCTTAGATTTGATTTACATAATGATTATGCTATATGAAATAGTCACTGTTGCTTGTAAATATGTTTTTGATTTAATATTAAACATATTTACAAGCAACAAGATATTTACAAGCAACATGTTAATATCTTGGGTGAAAATAGCCAGACAGTGATTTTATCTGGTTTACTGTGATTCAAATAAATCTTCTGCAAACTCGGTATATATAGGATGTTTAAGTCATCTTTGAATTCCACACCTGGAATTCATGGACGTATAAATGGACACATCCATTCATTTTCTTGGAAACAGGTAGAAAAGGCCTCCCAGCCAGACTAAGAGATAATTTACAAAATTATCCACAATCATGGGATAATTCTGTAAATATTGCCTCTCACCCACCCTTCCTTTTACCTTAAGCTAAGGAAGAGGATTGTGTCTCACAGATCTAAAGATAAAGGGGTTGTATCTCAGATACCAGGAATACCTCCAAGATTGTTTCAAGCTTGTCAACCTGTCCCACAAGTTTTCTCAAGAAATCCTGGTCCATCCTTGGCTCCTTCCTCAAAGCAATGTCATTACTAATATAATAATTCAAAGCCATCCTACTACAATGGAGTACAGTACTGAACACATCCAGCTTGTGATTTTATTTTTCAAGAGACATGCCTTCTCATGAGTCACTCCCAAAATCCAGGCATAATAATAGCTGCTGACCTTTGCAGAATCCTGCCTGCCTGCTTTTCAGAAATATCTATGCCCAGTATCTTCAGGGAGTGAACTATCTCTGAGGCTTCAA